GATGGATGAATATAATAAAGAGTTTGTATGCATCACAGCCTGCAGGAAATGAAATAATTAGGGATGCTCCGATCCGCCTTTTTTGCCTCTGATACCGATTCCGATACCTAGGGTTCAGTATTGGCCGATACCGATTCCGATCCGATACCAGTGAAGTTTTTTTTTCCCTCATTTAAATAAATGTAGAATTTATATATCTCTGTGTGTGGAACTGATAATCATTCTTTCACAAAATCTCGGATTTGGATCGGCTCTCTCTGACCGATACCCGATCCGAGAAAAATGGCTCTATCGGAGCCGATACCCGATATGAATATCGGATCGGCGCATCCCTAGAAATAATGTGCCTAAAATGACAATGAATGACAAAATGACTAAAACCTCTGCCAGGTCCAGATGCCTACATTCTCATCAATAGATGTTTCTACACACAGTGACGGCACATTATTGAATACGGCCCACAGTTTCATGGGGCAAGGACAGTTCTGACTCAGACCCTACTGTTACAGCTTCAATAAGTTTGAATGGAGCATGAATGAGAGAACAAACACAACTTTCTCCAGTGACATATTAGACTCTGAGAGGAGAGTCTTTTTTTAATCAATAACGGAGTCTTCAACTTTTACATTTAGTCTCTACCATTCAGGAATGCCCTTTCGTTGTGCAGAATATACTTCAATGACAGCAATAGCAGTCACAGCAACATGTCATTTCCTGTTTTTGTAAAGCCACGTGCAACAGACATATGAATTTGACCTGTTTGAACACAGAGCTCATCACATTCTCCATTGTTTATGCACTGAACAGAAAGACAAAAGATACTTCTTGAAATCAAGTAAATATTTCTGCACATGAAAATGTCATACAGGTTCGTAACGACATGAGAGTGAGTAAATAGTTTCATTTTTAGGTGAACTATCCCTTTAATGGTCTTAAATCTAAATGAAGTTACACTATATTCAAATTCACTTGCCCAACATAAACTAAACCTATCCTGACAAAATGCCACTGCTGAACTTGTGCACAAATACATCTGTGAACATATTCAGGTCTAACCACAAAAACCAAAAAGCTGATACAAGCCGACATGCCGATTTTGATTATTTAGAAATGCAGATTACACACTCAAAGGCTGTCACTGGGGCGGTACCTTTTCAAAAGTCACAACTTTGTACCTAAACAGTCCACATTGGTACCTTAAAGGTACATATTAGTACCTAAAAAGTGTACTTATTAGTACCTAAAATGACAGCTTTTGTACCTTTTTTTTCTGAGAGTGCATGATGGAAAACAGGGAAAGCTTAGTTTTTCAGAAGGGTGGAGATCATGTTTGAAATGTCAGATTATGACTGTAATATCTTGGAAACGTAATCCAAATTTCCAAATGGCCTTGAGACAAGGGATAGCAGGAGAAAACAGGGAGACAAGGACCTTTTGTTCAATCAAAGGACACAACCAGGAAACAGCTAATCAAAACTGTAAGGGTAGTTTCCTTCTCCCAGGACTGATGGGTTTCCAACAATACAGTTATTATAAATACAACATAATAAGCTTTTTTTTATGCGCATTCATCCCAACATATATTTATTTATTTTTATTTCTATATCAGCATCAAACTCCTCCATAGTCTTAACTCCACATTAAATAAATACAACAATTATAACAAGTCCAACCTAGAATCATTAAAATTTTATGTAGTAGATTTAGACACACTTAGGCCACTGTTATCCTTGAAATACGCAGAAACAAATGTATTTTTACGATACAATTCTAAGTAATATTGATGCTACAACTTATTATTACAGTTATATGAGAGACTTGTGTAAGTATTTGTTTCTTGGATACTGGTTCTTATCAGTACAATATTTCAAGGCTGGCCATTCGGTAGTTTTTCCAGAACCTGTGAAAAGCAAATAGAACAGCTTTCATGAAGTTCTCTGGTACGTAACAACAAACAAAATGAAATAGCATTGCATGAAACAGAATGAAATAACAGGCGGATTCCACCTGTTACTAGGTTCAACTCATTTGGTCCTGCTTGGCTGAGGTTGGGATTGCACAATATGAACAGATATACATGAAAGGCATAGGTCACACCCATGGTGGAGCTTGCAAAATATGATCTTTGTAATACAAAATATATCACTGGTAGAGTTGAAAAGGCCAAATCTATTCTGTCAAGAGGCTTTGAAAACTAATTTACATCTCAATGGTATTCTCTGACAGATCAAAACTTCCAAGGTGCTTTCTCTAGAAACAATTATAATAATTTGCCATTTTATTATCCTCTTCCATATTGACTATGAGCTTTGTCATTGTCTTGAGTTTGTACTGCAACAGATTGTGCTAGTCTATATAAACAGATGATCAGATAGCCATCCGCATGTCTTTAATATTACATTAAAACGTGTGTCCTCTCAGTTTTACTCTTCGGTAACTTAAAGTTATCGTGCTCTCCATTAACTCAATGATAGGATTACACAGAGACATCCTCTTAATCAATGTTTTTAGCAGGTCAAATAACACACAGAAAATCCTGTTAATAAAATCTCTGTCTGGATAACCTTATAATTATGTAATGAGAGCACACTGCAGTATTTCTTCTAGTCACAGTAACAGATTCAGTATACCATGACCTCTAGTTGTCTGTATAAGGTCCCAACGGGGTATGCGGTCACTCCCCAAAATCCAATATTACAACTGGAGAACTATCAGTTACGTAACTGAAAGCATGGCCCAATGGCCTATGTAGAAATTAGTAAATAATGCAATGTGTTCTTCAGGTGAAGACACAAAATCATTTCTAAGAAATTAACTTCTGGTACATTACACTATGATGCAATAATTTTTTCTGTCTTTCAAAAGAATAAAAAAAAATGGATCAGCAACCTCAAGATACAAAAACATCCCATCTGAGGGGCACCATATCACTGGGATTCTTTAAGCTCTGTGACTTCAGTTTTGGGAAAAAGTATCGAACATCAGCCTGGATATGGTAACCTCCAATGTAATCAGCCTTTTCCTTGTCCTTGTAGTTTACAGTATCATTTGCAGCCTCAAATCAAGAATAATAAACTAAACAACAATAAATGAGATCACCTAAAACAATCAGTGATCCTTATGATAATGTCCTGCAGGGAAGTTTGTATATATATGAGTTGGGAAGATCTAATTAATTAATTTACAACCTCAGGTGCACTCAAATCACTTTGGTCAGAGCAAAATGCTGATGAACCCTTTTTTATTTTTTTATTTCAAAAAAATAAAGCAAGATTTTGGAAATCTGTTTCTAAAAGTGATACATAATCTGCATCAGGTGTGTTTTTGCTTTATGTTTTTATTCAATTTAGAATGTAAACGGAATCGTTATATATTGTATCACAACTGTATTTTGTATTTTTGTATCTAGTAGCTAGTTTTATTGTAAATTTAAAAAAAAATAATGCTAATAATTTCAACAATTGTACCATCAATACAGATGCTGCATTCACTGTGTCTGTGTATTTTTTCTAACTGACTCCAACTGCGAGCTCAAAAAAAAAAAATCTCAAGTTTACCCACTCGCCATCTTTGTGGCTGATCAGTGGTTCAACCTGTAAATACAATCTTTCCGACATGACTTGAAGGTAACATTACTCATATTCATTCCAAACCTATATGATTCACCAATTTGGAATTAGTTTTCCAGCGAGGAGGGGCGGTGGGTGGAAGGGGAAAATTTTTTTTTTTTGTTTTTTTTTGAAAAACATCCAACATAATTTAAGTCACTGCAGACTGAGATTGTCAAATTGCAAAATTACAAAAAAAAAAAAGATTACAGATTCGGTTCTTATTAGATAGAAAACATAGAAATGCATAGAAAACAGCAACCAAATACATCAGTCAAGCCAATGTCTAGACTACTTTTGCATTCAGCAGAATATAATTTTCATTTTGGGTAAAAATAACAACAACAACAATAATAATAACAATAACAATAATTCTACAAAATGGAAAAACTAAATTATGTTCAAAACATACAGCTTTATATATGTCTTATAAATCCTAAACTAATGTAATGCATTAATCAAGATGTTAACTTAACATATTATTTACTATGTACATTTTCTATGGCTTATTTTTTACTATGTATGTAAGGTGGAAGAGTTGCCAAAGGTCACGTCTACCTTCATGCTACTGTACAATGTTCTTGAAGATTAAGTCACCAACCCAACACTGAGACACTTTTTGTAGCGCTACATCAAAAGCAATAAAGAACACTAAGTTGCATTGTTATTTGTCCTGGCACAGCAAAACTGAAAAGCAGCGCACATCTCTAGGGAGGATCTGTTTTTCCGCTGTCATCTGGTGTCAACTGCAATATTAAGTCAACATCTGAGCGTCTGTCTCCCACCAAAACATTCTTTACACAAAACACACATTTTTCCTGTATATTTCCTAGAATAGTGGCACATGTTTACTAGTATTGTTACTTCGACGAGCTGCGCTTTGACCCCCCCCCCCTTTGCCAGCACATGACCAGCATAAACCAGCAAAGGACCAGCTTAAACCAGCATCAAAACATACCTAACCAGCATATGCTGCCTCCCTTCACCAACTCAACTCTTTATGAATTAATTAAACCACTTTATTTCTTAATTTCATTCATTTGCTCAAACTTTCTACAATATCTCACACCTGAAACCTTGAACGTTACATATTCAAAAAGAACTGTACAACAAGAGAGCAGAACGATGCCGATGATCGAGCAAAAATGCAAGATCAGTCAGACCTCCAAAAGAGAAATTAATCAATGTTTAGCATTTACAGAGGTACAACGTTTAGCATTTACAGAGGACGTCTAACAGATTTTAAACAGCGAACATCTCTCGTTGTAATTCATTTAACTTCATCTCTTGAATAATTCACGAACACGCAAAAGTGTATTTTCTTTCACTTTCGTAAAAACAAGTCACTTTGTTTGGATATACCATTTCAAAAAGAATCACAGCATCACTCACCGTTAGCAATGTGCACGAGCCAAAGAAAACAACCGTAAACTGTTGGGAGTCGGTAAAAAAAAAAAAAACGAAAAGCAGCCTCAACAGAAAGTAGTTGCCTGGCGTTTGCTGGTCTCCGTCTCACTCTGAATGAGGGTCCAAAGAGGCGTGACTAAACCGAAGCCATCCAAAATTACATCATTAAATGACAATTACCGTAAAACCTCAAATATTCCGAGTTTGAAATGTAAACAAAAATTTACATAATGCTATTCAAACAAATGGTTGCACAATCTTGGTTTATTTATTTTTTATTATCTCTCTTACCTATAGGTCATCTCAAAATGCTCTTAGTGATCATAATCTTAATCATCAATTCATAAATGAAGAAGAAACAAATGGAGGGATGCAAGAGCAATACAACAAATAAAATTCATTTTGTGAACATTACAAAAAAAATCCCCTCTAGTCTACCATCCACTCAATGAACACTAGAGGGTGCTTCACAATTCAGAGACTATCGGGTAGGATTATGAAAAACATTTCGGTTACTGCTTTCAATATTTCATGTCACCTACATGTTCACCATCTTCTGTTCTTGTATTTTTTACTATAAGAGTGTAAAACATTTCCCGTTTAGATTCTACACAATGAAAATGTAATACAATGAAATGTAAAACACAACAATGTACCAGTTCACAAGAATGTAACATTAAAAACAGATTGGAGAATAATTGTAGGAGATTTACACACAATCTCAAACTCAAAAGTACAAGGTGATAGTGGTTCTATTACCTATAATGATAACTTGTTCAACACAGCTATTCATACATGCTGATTTTGTCTTCGAAAACTCAATTATTTTTCAAATTGTGTTTTTACAGATCCGGAAATAGACTAAACATATTTTACAAATACATGAAGACCAATTACATATGATAGAACGGTTTCTGAAAGATTCCTCTTGTAATCTCACAGAAATGTTCGTAAACTTTCTTTCCCGATGAACCAGTGTGTTTCATCAAAGGCATCATGAATGGATGGTCAAACACAGATAACTTTTTTGATATTGTAAGTCATGTAATGCAGGAGTGCTCGTTTTTAAATCTGTTTATTTTGTGTGTAAATCCCTGATTCACATACCGATATTCAAGCATTTCTCTTCCCCACAAGATTCATTTATTTCCCCTTTAAAAGAACAGAAAGTACACTGCATGGAATGGCAGGATATAACTCTCTAGCTAAATTAAGATGATCTGAATTTAAAAAGAGTTTTCACATTTGCATTTGACAGTAGCAATACATTTGGCGAGATGGAGGGTTGTCTGTAACTGTTTTTTTTCCCTTCATGGCAACACTACATTCATTGCCTCTGTGCAAATGTTATTAAAAAACTTCAAACTGGGGGCTAAAATATATGCTTAGTGTCAAAGTGTTCCTGCACAAAAAAAAAACAAAAAAAAACACTAGAGCTTGACATGCATGTCAGTGACTAAATGAAAAAGTATGCATACTTCTACCATCAAACCCTAAAATCATCTATATAGCACAGGTACAAATAATAATAAAAAAATCTATTTATATTAAAAATTCCGGATAAACAATAGAATATTTCTACACAGCAGCAGAATTACAGGCATGAAGTGGAGAGTTTATATTAAGTGGGCAATCTAATAATGACTATGCATATATTAATTAAAGTATATATATGTATATACATATATAATGTACAAGTATAATACACTGCTCGAGTCCAGAGAGATCTGATATCAGTCTTCACATTCCTCTTCGGCATCTGATGTGACCCACACAAATCAATATCTTCCACCTGATAAATAAGACATCATTAGAGCTTAGATGAAAATGAATGAGACATTTAAGAGTGGAAAGAGGTGAACTCTGTAGGTGGATGAGTCAGGCTTACCCTGCGCTGTCGTGACCTCACATGGTTCTGCTATACTCAATGCCGCTCTTGGAAGAGATGCTCGACCATGGCAGAAAGCTGCGCAGCAGATTCTGTGCTTGCCGGTAAATTCTCTGAGGAATTGAGCAGGGGCTCAGACTGGCCAGTGCCGAACCTATACGATGAATATAATCAGTGCTGAGTGAGTTAAGGAATGCTTTCTGCCAGTCATTTACGGTTCAATTTCAGACCAGTATATTAAGGGACCTATGTTGTGATTTTGGAGATTACATTGCTACCTGACTCCTAGACAACTGAGAATATTCGCAGCTGTTCAAAAGTTTGGAGATAAGATTTTTTAAATATTTTTGAAATATGTGTCTTGTTCACCAAAGCTGCATTAATTGAATCAAAATTTTATTCCTATGATGGCAAAGCTGAATTTTCAGCAGCCATTACTCCAGTCTTCAGTGTCACATGATCCTACAGAAATCATTTTAACATGCTGATATGCTGCTCAGGAAACATTTCTTATTATCAATGTTGAAAATCATTGTGATGCTTAATATTTTTGTGTAAACTGGATCCAGGATTGATTATTTTTATTATATTATTTACATCTGACCCCAAACGTTTGAGCAGTAGTGTAATAAATTTAGTAGTAGTAGTAGTTTAATTTTCTATGTGCTGCCAGTACCAATGAAACATGGGGCAACATTAACATGAGTCACAATAAAATGCTCTGCATGTACAAACAATAATGGAAAAACACCAATTAACATTTGGTATCAATAATGATAATTACATTTTTACAGTTATCAGCAACCTACATAACATGCAACTCTAGTTACCAATCACCTTGATTATTCCCACTAACAGATAAATGTGACACAAGAACACAAATGCGTGAGACAACACAAAGGATATAAGATAGTCCACGGAGGATGTCCACCATTGATGTAGAGGACGTAGGTGAAGCCATCCTTCAGCACTCCTCGTATAGAGTAATAATACGGTAAATAGTGGTGCTGTTTAAAGTCTCTGTTCTCATAGAAGTGAATGGCAGTGTTATTGGTGGTGAGCACATGCAAGTAGATGGCTTTACAATGGTCCTGTGCCGTGGTGGAGATGTGCTCCTTTAAACTGTCCAGCAACAAAGAGCCTGCAAAGAGAGAGAAAGAGATATGAGTGACAGTTCACACAGTTTGTAAGGACAGGTGAGACAAACGTCAACTCTCACCTATTCCATGTTTTCGAAACTCCTTTACGACCCCTAAACTCAGGATGTACGCAACTTGAGTGTCAACAGGAAAGCTGGAGGCCAATATGTCTCCATCCTGGTGGAGAGAAATATTTGCTGAGTTAGCAACACAGACGGTTAGCTGGGAGAACATACTGGAATAACAAATGTGATGGTGTGCATTTTGTTATTAGTAATTGATATATTGAGGGAGTTAAAGAGTTTATAATATTTTTTTTTCTTGAAAAGAAGTCTCTTGTGCTCACCAAGGATTTATTTGATCAAAAATACAGTATAAACAGCAATATTGTAAAGAAGTATTACATTTTAAAATTTGAATATATATTAAAATATAATTTATTCCTGTGATGCAAAGTTGAACTTTCAGCATTATTACTCCAGTCTTCGGTGTCACACGATCCTTCAGAAATCATTCTAATGTGCCGATTTGCTACTTAAGAAACAATCATTATTATTATCATTGTTGAAAACAGCTGTGCTAGTTAATTGTTTTGTGGAAACATTTTTAAGATTCTTTGATGAATAGAAAGTTCAGCATTAACGTGAAATAAAAATCTTTTGTAACATTATAAATGTCACTTTTGATTAATTTACTGTATCCTTGTTCAATACTTTTGAACAGTAGCATAATAATATACATATATATAATTATAATGAAATAATACACATAGTGTTAATTTTTTTATTCAGTACACATTTCCTGGGTTACATTTGGGTGTTTAGCACATTTTGGGGGGAAAATGAATATATATATTGTGAAATAACACAAATAACACAAATATAATTAAATTTTAAATTAAAATTTAAATGCTAAAAGAATTTTGCACATTTCTCTTGTGATCACTTTAAGAAGAAATCACACTCAAACCCTGACAAATCACATATTATCTCACACTCTTTTCTGCCCTCTGGTAAACAGTTCAGGACTATTGGAACTAGCACTATTAGATACAGAAATAGTATCTAGCCCAGTGCTGTAAGAATGTTCAACACACAACAACATTAATGTGTACTATCAGTAATGAAACTGGACTTTACTCTGTCATTCTATAAATAGCCTGATCTTTTACCAATTTTGGTAAGCTCATCAATAGCACTGCCAATTTTATTGTGTGGCAATTATTATTATTATTATTCTAACAGTAATATCTAACTTACATAATATAAAAGCACTCATGAGCACAAACAGTAACTGCAAGCAACTTTAGTAGGAGGCATAACTGTACCATGAAGAGGCAAAATCCTTTCTAATTAAGGTCAAATCCTTTGTTACATGCAGAAATTTAGTCTGTAACCTAATTAATCACCCGCTATAAAAAGACTTTGGATATGTCAGATGATCTTATTCTGAATTATTAACCTTTACATCAAAGCTCCAGAGAAACTATTGTTTGTGGTCAAAGTAACTTTTTACTCATCCAAACATTTATTATTCAATAGCACAAAACACATTAAACAAAATTCTCTCACATATTCATACAGATTAAAGGAATAGTTCACCCCAAAATGAAAATTTGCAGAAAATGTACTCACCCTCAGATCATCCAAAATGTAGATGAGTTTGTTTCTTCATCGGAACAGATTTGGAGAAATTTAGCATTGCATCACTTCCTCACCAATAGATCCTCTGCAGTGAATGGGTGCCGTCAGAATAATAATCCAAACAGCTGATGAAAGCATCATAATAATCCACATGACTCACTCTGGACCCCTCACCCAGAACACTTCCTCTTTGAACTGTTGCCCTCTGGCCAGAGCTACACAGCACCAAAATAGCCAGACACAAGAACAGCTTTTTCCCCCAGGCCATATTCCACCTGAACAACACATCTCAGGACTGTACATCTGTAAATAACTTATCAACATTTTTCATCTGTAAATAGCTCATATGCACATTCACAATTCTGTCTATTGATGTTTTCTTTTTCTCTATATTTTATTACCATATTATATTTTTTATTTATTGCCTATTCTCTTTTATTATTAGTATTTTATTTCACTTT